TCCAGCCTGGGTGACAGAGCCAGACTCCGCCTCAAAAAAAAAAAAGAAAAGAAAGAAATACATTGGTTTGGCTCAGTAGGGACAACTGAAGGGTGGAGGACTTCCAGGTTATAGGTAAATTTAAACATTTTCTGGTTGACAATTGGTTGAGTTTGTCTAAACACCTGGGATCCATAGAAAGAAATGTTCAGGTTGAAATAAAAGATTGTGGAGATCAAGGTTCTTTTGAAGTCTTATAGTGGCCGCCCTTAGAGACAATAAACGACAAGTGTTTCCTATTGAGACCCGTAAAAGGTGCTAGACTCTTAGTTCATCTCTTCCGATTGAGAGGGCCTGCAAGAAACAGATCTAGCTATGTTAATAGAGATTCTTCACTGATGCAAATTTCCCCCCCATAAAGGACTGCTTAACAAAGCCCTTCCAAAACATGGTGAAGAGACATGCCTTGGGGCAAAATATCTTGACTTTCTCCTCTGTCACACTATGTTATGCCAGAGTCAGACTGTTAAGTAAGTCACAGAATATAGGGCTAAACAAAACTCATGTGATGAGAATTTATGGTTTTAGGGCATGACTCTCTAGACTCCTTAGGAATTTGGACAAGATAAAAAGGTCAGAAAGGGCCAGCGTGGTGGCTCATGCCTGTAATCCAAGCACTTTGGAGGCCAAGGTGGGCGGATCACCTGAGGTTGGGAGTTCAAGACCAGCCTGACCAACATGGTGAAACCCCGTCTTTAAAAAAAAAAAAAAGTCAGAACTTAGTTCTTAGTAAGATGAAGGCATATGTGCCTTCCATCCACTTTAGGGCCACCACTCTCTTCATTCTTCTCCTTCTTCCAACAATCCACCTATGTGTCTTCCAACAATTTATAAAAATGACCAAAAAGACAATGAAAATGGTTTTAACATTTGAATATTAACCAAAAATTCATGATTGGGCTAGGCGCAGTGGCTCATGTCTGCAATCTTAGCACTTCGAGAGGCCGAGGTTGGTGGATCACCAGAGATCCTGAGTTCGAGACCAGCTAGGGCAACATGCTAGGGCAACATGGGAAACGCCGTCTCTAGTAAATCCAAAAATTAGGCTGGGTGAGGTGGCTCGTGCCTGTAATCCAAGCACTTTGGGAGACTGAGGCTGGCGGATCATGAGGTCAGGAGATTGAGACTATCCTATTCAACATGGTGAAACCCCGTTTTTACTAAATACAAAAATTAGCTGGGGGTGGTGCTGCATGCTTGTAATCCCAGATACTCGAGAGGTTGAGTCAGGAGTGTTGTCGTGGAGCGAGCATAGAAAGTCAACACCAAGACAAAATTATGCCAAATTGCAGGGTCTTTATTGCTGGCGGCCACGGAGGACTCGAGTCTCTCTAACCCGTGGCCCTGAAAGGAGGGTGTCAAGACCTTCTATTCCCGTAAAACCACCTCAGGAGTGAGGGTGAGGGGCAGGGGTGGGGGTGAGGGGCAGGGGTGGGGGTGAGGGGCTTCAGACATTCGGAGGGCTAGTGGATTCTGTAAATCACCTCCTGGGTGGAGATGTGGGTGAGGGGCTCCGGACATTCCAGTGGATGGATTCCTGGGCGAAGATGAGGGTGAGGGTCTCTGGACAGTCCTAGGGCCAGGGGACTTTTGACATTCTGATTGTTACTTAAGTGGTTCACAAAAGTCAAGATTAGCATTTGTTTACACATTGTCTGGGTAGGGTGGAAATTACAGTCCTTAATTACTTACTCACATTTGGGTTATAGAGAGCAGTTTCAATAGAAAGCCGAGGTATGGTTGAGGTATGCAAGTTTATGGGACTTTTACCATGTCACAAGGAGAATTACTTGAACCCGAGAGTCGGAGGTTGCAGTGAGCCGAGATTACGCCATTGCACTCATCTGGTGACAGAGGAAGACTCTGTCTCAAAAAAAAAAAAAAAAAAGAAAGAAGAAAGAAGGAAAGAAAGAAAGAAAGAAAGAAAGAAAAGAAAAGAAAATATAAAAATTAGCCAGATGTGGTGGTGTACATCTGTGATCCTAGCCACTTGGAAGGCTGAGGCAGGAGAACTGATTGAACTTGGGAGGCAGAGGTTGCAATGAGCTGAGATGGCGCCACTGCACTCCAGCTGGGAACACAGAGCAGACTCCATCTCAAAAAAACAAACAAACAAAAAAAACGGACAAGAAAATGATCATCTTAATTGATGTGGGAAAAACGTTTGAAAAAATTCAGTGACTCATTCATGATTTTATTATTTTTAATTTTTCTTTTTTTTTACTGGATTGGTACAAAAGTATCATTCAGAATTTTAGAAATATTCTCAGCAAAATAAAATAATTCCTCAATATGATAAATGCCATTATCAGGAAACTGTTTATTATTTATAAATAACAGTAAAAGGAAGGAATATGCACACACCACCCACCTTATCAGTCAGTCCCTTATCAGTCAGTAAATTCCATCAGTGTTAGGATTAGGGTGGAAGTCGAGAATTCATTCATTAATTCACTCCACAGAGGTGGAGTTGTAGTACTGTAAATCAACAGGAATTAAAAAAAAAAAAAGAGGCCGGGCGCGGTGGCTCATGCCTATAATCCCAGCACTTTGGGAGACCGAGGCGGGTGGATCACGAGGTCAAGAGATCGAGACCATCCTGGCCAACAAGGTGAAACCCCGTCTCTACTAAAAATACAAAAATTAGCTGGGCATGGTGGTGCGCGCCTGTAGTCCCAGGTTCTCGGGAGGCTGAGGCAGGAGAATTGCTTGAACCCAGAAGGCGGAGGTTGCGGTGAGCCGAGATCGCGCCATTGCACTCCAGTCTGGGTAACAACAGCGAAACTCCGTCTCAAAAAAAAAAAAAAAAAAAAAAAAAAGAGATGAAGTTTTAGTAATACATGACCTTTCTAGTTTTGAGTTTGACAAGGAAGGATTCAATCTGTTCCTGAGAATAGACAGAAAAACAAAACCTGAACGTTTTATGGTTCAGAGATCTTTGGCTGGACCAAAATTATCCAAATGAATTTTTGACTTGCATCCTAATTCCAACACTGTCAGTTTCATGACTGGATATCTGATTCAACCCCTTGGATTGAATGGATACCTGAATTCACAAGTTTCACTGGGTGGAGCTTCAGAAATCCAATCAGGCATCACTCTCTGATAGGAAGCTGGTATTTGAAAGGTTCAAGAAAGCTCGTGAGCAGCTGCAGCAGAGACCCAGAGCAGTGGTGCCTGGAGTTACTGTCTGGTTCTCCAAGAGGTCCACGCACACTGCAAAGTGAGTTCAGATCTGGTAAGTTGGGGACCTCCACAAGGGCACTCCCATGATCCACAATCAGCCAGTAGGATGGAGATATGCAGGTCAAGGCCACACAGAATTCTCCTGCCTGTTTTCCAGATAAACAGATGCAGGCTTTGACATTTCCTCGAATACAGTTTTATCTACACTTCAATTATTTTATTATTATTTGAGATGGAGTTTTGCTCTTGTTGCCCAGGCTGGAGTGCAGTGGCGCGATCTCGGCTTAGGGCAACCTCCGCCTCCTGAGTTCAAGGGATTCTCCTGCCTCAGTCTCCTGAGTAGTTGGGATTACAGGCAGGCATCACCGCACCTGGCTAATTTTGCATTTTTAGTGGAGACAGGGTTTCACCGTGTTGGTCAGGCTGGTCTCGAACTCCTGCCCTCATGATCAGCCCACCTCAGCCTCCCAAAGTGTTGGGATTACAGGTGTGAGCCGCCTCACCGGCTTTTCTTTCTTTCTTTTTTTTTTTTGATGGAGTCTCCCTCTTGTCTCCCAGGCTGGAGTGCTGTGGCGCGATCTCGGCTCATTGCAACCTCCACCTACCAGGTTCAAGCGATTCTTCAGCCTCGGCCTCCGGAATAGTTGATATTATAGGCTCATACCACCACACCCGGCTAATTTTTTTTTTTTTTTTTTTTTCTGAGACAGAGTTTCACTCTCGTTACCCAGGCTGGAGTGCAATGGCGTGATCTCGGCTCACCGCAACCTCTGCCTCCTGGGTTCAGGCAATTCTCTTGCCTCAGCCTCCTGAGTAGCTGGGATTACAGGCACATGCCACCATGTCCAGCTAATTTTTTGTATTTTTAGTAGAGACGGGATTTCACCATGTTGACCAGGATGGTCTCGATCTCTTGACCTCGTGATCCACCCGCCTCGGCCTCCCAAAGTGCTGGGATTACAGGCTTGAGCCACCGTGCCTGGGCTGTATTTTTTTTTTTTTTTTTTTTTTTGTAGAGACGGGGTTTCACTATGTTGGCCAGGCTGGTCTCGAACTCCTGATCTCAGGTGATCCACCTGCCTTGGCCTCCCAAAGTGCTGGGGTTACAGGCATGCACCTGTAAAATAGGTGGGAGCCCATTGCTCCAGGCCTATTTTTAAATGGACATAATGGTGAGATAGCCATGTGGGTGGGAGTCCCCAGAGAATCTCCCACCAGCCTGTGCACTGTGGGAACCTGAAGTGGGGTGGAGCTTCGGAAGTTGCGCTTTTTGCAGCAGGGAGGAGTCTGGCCTTGAGGAGAGTTCCTGTTTCCTCTTCCTTTTCATGCAATATAATCCTGCTTTACTCACCCTTCAAACCGTCCGCAACCCTGAAATTTTGTGGCTATGGGACGAACAAGGACCCAGTCTTGAGCCGAATTGAGGAAGTCCTGCAACAATGGAACCTAATGTAGGGAGTCCCTTTAGTTTCCCAACTGGGTTCACTGATGGAACTGAGACTGGGTTGTGTGGGGTCACAGGAAACTCCCATTCCCACTGTTTTCAAACTTTAAATTGAGAAGGCGTTTCTTTTTTGGTGGAAGAGTGGGGACAGGAGTCTCGCTCTGCCCTCAGGCTGGAGTGCAGTGCCAGGCTCTTGGCTCACAGCAAGCTCCACCTCCCGAATTCAAGTGATTCTCGGGCCTCAGCCCCACCCCACCCAGTAGCTGGGTCTACAGGTGCCCACCATCCCATCTGGCTAATTTTTTTTTACATTTTCAGTAGAGACCGGGTTTCACTATGTTGGTCAGGCTTGTCTTGAACTCCTGACCTCAGGTGATCTACCCGTCTCGGCCTCCCAAAGTGGTAGGTTATAGGCATGAGCCACTGGGCCAGGCCTTTTTTTAAATTTTGAAACAGTTTCACTCCGTCCCCCAGGCTGGAGTGCAATGGTATGTATGATCTCAGCTCAATGCAATCTCTGTCCTTGAGGTTCAAGAGATTCTCCTGCCTCTATAAATATTTATTGCGTTTACTTGTTCCGGATCTGAGTTGAAGTCCTGGATATCCTTATTAATTTTCTGTCTCGTTGAGTCTACATCTCGTTATGGGTCTTATGCATCTGGGTATTAAGATCTCTTATTGTTGCATTGATCCTTTTACCACTGTATCTTTGTTGCTTTGAAATCTATTTTATCAAATGTGAGAATTGCAACTCCTGCTTTTTGTTTATTTATTTATTTTTGCTCTCCATTTGGTTGGTAAATTTTTCTCCAACCCTTTGTTTTGAGTCTTTGTGTATCTTTGGATATACCGTTAGGTTTTGGCTGTATCTCTTGATTGGGGGATTTAGTCGATTTAAATTTAGGGTTACTGCCATTTGATGTTAACTGGCTATTTTATCCATTCGTTGGTGTAAATTCTTCTTTATGTTGGTGCTCTTTACTTTTTGGTATATTTTTAGAAAGGCTCATACTGGTTGTTCCTTTCTATGTATAATGCTTCTTTCAGAAGCTCTTGTAAAGCAGGCCTGGTGGTAATAAAATCTCTGAGTACTTGCTTGTTCATAAAAGATTTTATTTTTCCTTCAGTTGTGAAGCTTTGTTTGGCTGGAACTCAATATATATTTATAGAGTTCTCCATTTTAAATACACAAAATATTGATCGGCCATTATTAATACCCATTTTTAGAATGAAGCAATATTCCTGTTCTCTCTCCCTCTTTTTCTTCCTCTTTCTTCCTCTCCTTCTCTCCTTTTTTTACTTTTCAACATCCTAGTTCCTCACCTCTACTCAATACATTCCTCTGAACACCTGATTCCTTGTGATTCTCCCGTAGGAAAAAAAAAAGAGATTTTCCTGCCTCAGCCTCCGGAGTGGCAGGGATTGTTTTTGAGACCGGGTTTCACCATGTTGACTGACCAGGCTGGTCTCCTATTCCTGACCTCGTGATCCACCCATCTCCACCTCTGAAAGTACTGAGATTACAGGCATGAGCCACCACTCCTGGCTGAGATGACTTTTTTTTTTTTTCTCAAAAAAGTGGAGATCTGAGCTTTAGAGATCGCTGTCAGTAACATTTCACAGTGCTGTTAGAGTTTAGTGGAGCAATGGTTATAATTCATAGACTAGGAGTGATCTTGCCTGCTTTTTATTTTATTTTATTTTTTTTAAAAAGATGGGGTTTCATCATGATGGCCAGGCTGGTCTTGAACTCCTAACCTCAGGTGATCCACCCACCTCCACCTCCCAGAGTGCTAGGATTGACAGGCTTGAGCCACTGCGCCCGGCCTTGCCTGCTCTTCAGATTGGGACATACTCTTCTTGGTATCAGAAGGGAGGAACTGTGCCTCTGTGGCCACTTACTACAGAATGGATTTGGGGTAAACTGAGCACTCTTTTTTCACACATGCTGGAGAAATGACTTTGGCCCTGGGAGAAGTGGGGGTTGTGGTGCTTGGACTGAGGAGCTTGCTTTTTCAAAGCTGGACTGCCCTCTACAGTTTGCCTTGCAGATTTATCAGAATGAGCCTGCAGGCCCCACGAAGGCTCATGGAGCTGGCAGCGCAGAGCCTGGTGAGGGAACCGTGTTTGGACACCTCCATTCTGGATGAACTGCCAGGGGAAGTCTTCCCCCTGATGTTCATGGAGGCATTCAGCATCAGGCACTATGAGATTCTACAGGCCATGGTGCAGACCTGGCCCTTCCCCCGCCTCCCTCTGGGGTCCCTGATGAAGACACCTCATCTGGAGACCTTGCAAGCTGTGCTGGAGGGACTTGATTCAGTGGTGTACATGATGATTCGCCCCAGGTGAGGCGACTCAGGTGGCTTGGTGGGAAGGGCCCAGACATCCAGAGAAGGGACAGCTGGCTCGGGAGGAGTGGTGGAGTTGGGGAGCAAGAATGGCTCAGATGGTGCCGGTGATGAGAGGCCTTGGTCATTGCCCAGCTCCTCCGGAGCTCCCACCATGCAGGGTCCACTGAGCAAACGGGAACCTGCCTCCTCCCAGTGGAAGGTTAAGGAACTAGAAGTGGATACCAGGAATAATCAAAGGGGGAAATGGGTGAAGAGACAGAGGGGGACAGGAACAGCTGATTAATGTCTTGAATGTGGAGTGAAAGCTTAGGTCTTCCCCAGGAGCAAAGATGGAGCTCCCGTTTCTAAAGACCCATCCCCATCAGTGCTGGGGCCTTGCCTACATTCTAAGCCTTTCCCCTGTTTTACCCACAGGAGGTGGAAACTTCAAGTGCTGGATTTGCGGAATGTTGATGAGGATTTCTGGACCTCGTGGTCTGGATCCAGGGCCCTGTTGTGCTCCCCAGAGGCCACGAGTAAGAGGCAGACAGTGGAGGACCATCCAGGGACAGGAGAGCATAAGCCGTTGATGATGTTCATACATGAGCCCTTGAAGGTGTTCATAGATGTCGGCCTCAAGGAAAGTACCCTGGATGAGTGGCTGAGCTACCTCTGTGGCTGGATTCACCACAAAAGAGGTTTGGTACAGCTGTGTTGTCGTAAAGTGCAGAATTACCCAATGCCCGAGTCACATTTCAGAAAATTAGTGGAAATGGTATACCCAGACAGTATCCAGGAGTCGGAAGTCCAGAGAAAGTGCTCACTGAATAGACCACCAGGAAAGTTTGCCCCTTACCTGAGCCAGTTAAGCGAGCTCCACAGAGTCTTGGTAGCCTTCGGTTATGATCATGAGTTATCCGTGTGCGCCCAACAGCAGTTCATTCCTGAATTGGAAACTCAAACCTCAGCTGGCCCGAGAGGTTTTTTCATAAGAATGGCCAATCATATCAATGAACACCAGGACCACGTGCACAGGTAAGAAAGGATGGTGAGCTTTCTCTGCATACTATACCACAGCCTTTTTCTTTTTTACGGTAAACGCTAGTGGGTATCTACTGTGTGCCAGCCACTAGTGGTGTCACAGGGAATGGGACACTAGAATGTCAATGCATTATGCTGTTCAGTGCTCTGTGTCCGGAAGGAATCACAAGACCACTCAAATAAGGGCAGAGGGATGGCCTGGGGCAGATGCTACAGAGAGAGACATGTAGGCAGCTAGTTAGTCTGGCTCAGTTCTAGTAGGGTGCATTTGTGAATTCCTTGTTAGGAAGTGTGTTTAAAGTTAATATGATGGGCCAGGCACGGTGGCTCATGCCTGTAATCCCAGCACTTTGGGAGGCTGAGGTGGGCGGACCACAAGGTCAAGAGATCGAGACCATCCTGGCCAACATGGTGAAACCCCATCTCCACTAAAATACAAAAATTAGCTGGGCGTGGTGGCGCGTGCCTGTACTTCCAGCTACTCGGAAGGCTGAGGCAGGAGAATTCCTTGAACCCGGGAGGTGGAGATTGCAGTGAGCCGAGATTGCCTGGCGACACAGTGAGACTCTGTCTCAAAAAATAAAAAAAATAATAAAGTTAATATGATGAAAACTTACTCATGATACAGAAGAGAGTACAAAAGAAGGAAAGCGCATCAAACCTGTGCGTTTCACAGTAGAAGCTCTGTCCTCACAGCTAAGTAAACACCAATAATCCTGTCCCTAATTCACTGTCTCTAAAGGATTGTTTTAAACTCCAGGAAAGATAATTGCCTTGGGAAATTCATGCTTCTGGAACAGAGTGAGGAGTAGGCATGAGAGTGGTGCGAAGTGATAGGTGATTTGCAGATGCAGGCATGTTGGAACGTTTGCAGGCAGGAAGCTGCAGCTGATGTCCCTAGACCTTGCTCAGTTGAGTTCTCTGTGCACATCTCCCACTGGGCTCCTCTGGCCCAAGGATGAGGTTGTCTGCTGAAAGATGAAGTAAAGACGCTTTAGAGATGTCATGGCCTTGAACCAATCACACCATCCAGGATGAAAGGACTGAGCCTAAAATGGGACTGCCCCTGAATGATCTGAGTCTTTTTTTTTTCTTTTGAGACAAAGTTTCGCTCTTGTTGCCCAGGCTGGAGTGCAATGGCGAAATCTTGGCTCACTGCAACCTCTGCCTCCTCGGTTCAAGCGATTCTCCTGTCTCAGCCTCCCAAGCAGCAGGGGTTATAGGTGCGCACCACCACACCCGGCTAATTTCGTGTTTTTAGTAGAGATGGGGTTTCTCCATGTTGGTCAGGCTGGTCTCAAACTCCTGCCCTCAGGTGATCTGCCTGCTTCAGCCTCCCAAAGTGCTGGGATTACAGGCGCAAACCACTGTGCAGGGCAATGATCTGAGTCTTCATCACGCAGCACCTTGGATGCTGACCGTCGTCTGATGATGGGGACAAACTTGTATTTGGATGAGTCGTATCCTAATGTGGACCAGCAATCTTGAGCCCCTCGGAGCCCTGCTAGAGAAAGCTGCTGCTAGCTAGTCTTGAGAGCCTCCTCTTACAGTCCTACAGGACTGTCGGATTCAGGACTCCCAACTCAGGGTCATCCTGTCTGCCCTGAGCCGCTGCTCCCAGCTCACCACTTTCTACTTTTGTGGAAATGAGACCTGTGAAGCCTCTGAAAGACCTGCTGCGTCACACAGGCGGGCTGAGCGAGGCAGGCCTGGAGACATACCCTGCCCCTCTGAAGAGTCTTGACAACAGGGGTCATGTCAATTGGGAGATCCTCACCCCGATTTGGGCTGAGCTGATGCGTATCCTCAGGGAAGTAAGGTGGCCCAAGAGGGTCTTCTTTGGTCTCGACTCCTGCCCTTCCTGTGGCTCATGGCCATCTGAGAAACTGGAGCTCCATTCTTGCACCTAGGGAAGGCCTGGTTAGTGGGGTTGGATACTTTTCCTTGTGGACACTTGGGCCCTAAAGTCAAGGACATGGGTGCTTTTTTTTTTTTTTTTTTTGAGTCAGGGTCTCACTATCACTCAGGCTGAAGTGCAGTGGCACAATCTCAGCTCACTGCAACCTTCGCCTCCTGAGTTCAAGTGATCCTCCTGCCTCAGCCTCCCGAGTAGCTGGTGTTACGGATGTGCGCCACCACACCCGGTTAATTTTTTATTTTTAGTTGAGACAGGGTTTCATGATGTTGGCAAGGTTGGCTTCCTTGAGGTCACTCTTGACCTCAAGTGATCGCCCACCTTGGCCTTCCACAGTGCCGGGTTTACAGGCATGAGCAGCCGAGCCCGGTCAGGTGCATCTTAAAGGAAGACAGAGCTGTGTGTTTCAGGCAGGTGCTCACTGTGAGTGGATAAAGCACCGGTGACTCAGCAGGGGGCAGTACTGGATGACTGGGCATCCATGAGGCCTTCAGGGACCTCTGTCCTAGAGTTAGAAATAGAACCCGGGCCAGATGCGGTGGCTCACACCTATAATCCCAGCACTTTGGGAGGCCGAGGCAGGTGGATCACGAGGTCAAGAGATGGAGACCATCCTGGTCAACAAGGTGAAACCCCGTGTCTACTAAAAATACAAAAATTAGCTGGGCATGGTGGCGCACGCCTGTAGTCCCAGCTACTCAGGAGGCTGAGGCAGGAGAATCGCTTGAACCCAGGAGGCAGAGGTTGCGGTGAGCCAAGGTCATGCCATTGCACTCTAGTCTGGGTAACAAGAGCGAAACTCCGTCTCAAAAAAAAAAAGAAGAAAATAGAACCTGAAGTTATAAAGTGATGGCAGGAGTTACCCCTGCGAGGGTGGTTATTAAAAAAATGTCTTAGCCATTTATACATCAGAAATCTCTAGTTACTGATGAGAGGTACTATTGTCTGTGACTGAGGTTCAGCTGTAGGAAGTCAAGGCATCCAGAGTGAAATCTGTTAATTTTGATTAATTCCCACCCCTCCTTCACGTCTCATCTACTTCTTCCTTAATTCTCCCGTGCCTGTTCACTGAGTTCATCCACAAAAGATGCACACTTGGGGCCTGGATCATTCTGTGTGGGCAGTGATGATGAGCCACTGAAGTCTACCCTCTTTTCAGGAGCCCTTGCTGCTCCCCAGGTACCGAGACCCAGCTGACCCCGAACGGGCAGATCTAGAGGAATCTGTTCCTGGTCACTGGACATGCCAGGAAAGGCACTGCACAAGGGGCTGCCCTCTGACCTGGAAGGGAATGGCCATAGTGCGTATTGCAGGAAACTCGTGACATCACCACCCCGTGCCTGTCCTCATGGTGGCTAGTGGGTTTTATTGAATTAAAGTACTTGTGTCCAATTTCCCTTTTGGAAAAATGCATACAACATATTCTAAGTATTTCTAGCCCACATTAATAGAAAAATACATCTTTTGGAAAACTAATTCATATTAATGAGGTATCTTCCTATAAATAACATCTCCCTTCTCTTTTTATCAAGAAACATGAGAATGATGGTTTCCAGCTTTATCCATGTCCCTGCAAAGGACATGAACCCATCCTTTTTGATGGGTGCATAGTATTCCATGGTGTGAATGTGCCACATTTTCTTTACAGTTTAACTTTTTTTTTTTAAGACGGGGGTTCACCATGTTGGTCAGGCTGGTCTTGAACTCCCGACCTCAGATGATCCGCCTGCCTTGGCTTCCAAAGTGCTTGGATTACAGGCGTGAGCCACCGTGCCCGGCCTACAGTCTATCATTGATGGGCATTTGGGTTGGTTCCAAGTCTTTGCTATTCTGAACAGTGCCACAATAAATATACGTGTGCATGTGTCTTTATAGTAGAATGATTTGTATGCCTTTGGGTGTACACCCAGTAATGGGATTGCTGGTCAAATGGTATTTCTATTTCTAGATCCTTGAGGAATCACCACGCTGCCTTCCACAATTGTTGAACTAATTTACACATCCACCAACGGTGTAAAAGGGTTCCTCTTTCTCCACATCCTCTCCAGCATCTGTTGTCTCCTGATTTTTTAATGCAAATAAAGACCACATTGAGGTACCATCTCACACCACTTAGAATGTGAGTGTGACTCACCATCTCACATTTCTCTAATGACCAGTGATGATGAGCTTTTTTCATATGTTTGTTGGCTGCATAACTGTCTTATTTTTGAGAAGTGTCTATTCATATCATTTGCCCACTTATTGATGGGGTTGTTTGTTTTTTCCTGTAAATTTGTTTAAGTTCTTTGTAGAATCTGGATATTAGCCCTTTATCAGATGGGTAGATTTCAAAAATTTTTTCCCATTCTGTTGGTTGCCAGTTCACTCTGATGATTGTTTCTTTTGCTGTGCAGAAGCTCTTAAGTTTAATTAGATCCCATTTGTCTATTTTGGTTTTTGCTGCCATTGCTTTTGGTGTTTTAGTCATGAAGTCCTTGCCCATGCCTATGTCCTGAATGGTATTGTGTAGGTTTTCTTCTAGGGTTTTTATAGTGTTAGATCTTAGGTTTAAATGTTTAATCCATCTGGAGTTAATTTTTGTATAAGGTGTAAGAAAGGGATCCAGTTTCAGCTTTCTGCATATGGCTAGCCATTTTTCCCAACACCATTTATTAAATAGGAAATCCTTTCCCCATTGCTTTTGTCAGGACTTTCAAAGATCTGATGAAGAGAGCTGGAAACCATCATTTTCAGCAAACTGACAAGAACAGAAAACCAAACACCGCATGATCTCACGCATAAGTGTATGTTGAGCAATGAGAACACATGGACACAGGGAGGGGAACATCACTCACAGGTGCCTGTTGTGGGGTGGGGAGATAGGAGTAGGGGAAGGGATAGCAGGGGGTGGGGGGATAATGAAGGAATAGCATTAGGAGAAATACCTAATGTTGATGATGGGTTGATGGATGCAGCAAACCACCATGGCATGTGTATACCTATGTAACAAACCTGCATGTTCTGCACATGTAGCCCAGAACTGAAAGTATTAAAAAAAAGATAGTTATCATGATGCAATATTTCTTAATATAAAAGTCTTATTACAATATTGTATGTGTTTTAATTTACTTAAAAGCATTATATATTTTTGGTTAAAATATGTTTGATCGATTATATATCTGTGACATTAATTCTCCATTTTTAGATATTAAGAGACCACGCTGAAAGGCCAGGCATGGTGGCTCACGCCTGTAATCCAAGCACTTTGGAGGCCAAGGTGGGCGGATCACCAGAGGTCGGGAGTCCAAGACCAGCCTGACCATCATGGTGAAACCCCATCTTTATAAAAGAAAAAAACTTTGCACTAAAAAAAATAAAAGAGGGAAACATGTCCAGGGTACTGACCTACATGTACGCAGCATTTGGGACTTGCCCCATGTGGGCCAGGAAGCTCTCTGATGCTTCACTCAGGTGAACCTGGGCTGACTGTTGACCTGATTGATCTCACACTCCTAGTCTTAAGTGTTCCTCCTGTTCTGGCCTCCCAAACTGCTGAAAGTATAGGCATGAACCACTGTGCCTAGTCTTAACTATTTTTAAAATTATTATGATACATAAAATTTGCATATTTATAGGGTACCTTTGATATTCTTTTTTTTTTCTTGGAGATGGAGTCTCACTCTATCGCCCAGACTGGAGTGCAATGGCATAATCTCAACTCATTGCAACCTCTGCCTCCTGGGTTCAAACAATTCTCCTACCTCAGTTTCCTGAATAGCTTGGACTTACAGGTGCGTGCTAACAAGTCTGGCTAATTTTTGTATTTTTAGCAGAGGTGGGGTTTCACCATGTTGGCCAGGCCGGTCTTGAACTGACCTTGTGAACCACCTGCCTCAGCCTCCCAAAGCCCTGGGATTACAGGCGTGAGCCACCATACTGGCCTATTATTCCTGCTTTTAAAAGTTGGTAACTTCTTTTGTGTTTATTTCAGAGTTTATATCAGAACAACTTACAGTAATATATACCCCTACTAGAACTTGTCATATAGTCAAAGACAAAGTCGTTAATAATTTTACAAATAGTAGATTACCTTTGGAGGGATTGACAATTACAAAATATGTAAACAATGAAAATTTCTCACTTCCAGCAGAAGCACATCAAATGTGGACCACGAGTGAGCAACATTTGCCCTCAAATATTTTTTTTTCCTTTTTTTAAAAATATAATTTTTTTTTTTTAATTTAAAATTTTTTTAGAGGTGGGGTTTCACCATGTTGGCCAGGCTGGTCTTGAATCCTAACCTTACAGCCAACCTCTGCATCCTGGGCTCAAGTGATCCTTCCCCACTCAGCCCCCAGAGTAGCTGGGAGTACAGGTGCATGCCACCTGGTCCAGCTAATTATTCGTAGTTCAGGAAGAGGCGGGATTTCATCATACTGCCCAGACTGGTCTCCAGCTCCTGAGCTCAAGAGATCCACTCACTTTGGCCTCCCAAAATGCTGGGATTCCAGGCATGAGCCACCGTGACCAGCCAAAGGTTGTTGTTAAAATTAGCTTCTACTCATAAGATTGAACTAAATGTCAAGGAAATGCATTAGCAGACTTTTATGCGAACTCGGCTACCACCACAGTTTGAAGGAATTGGATTAAGTTGTTTCACATCAAATTATTTATGACAATTTGTGCAATAAACAATCCCGTGCACCTGAATTGGAATAACCAAAATAGTGTCTGAAAGGATTCACGTTTAATCCCGAATGAGGACTCACTGATGGCCTGGATGGTCACCTTTCCTTCCCGAATTCCTGAAGTTGCCACTAGTAAAGGCTCTGTACGCCACAGTCCACCATGTTGTAGAAAAAATTGTTGAATTTATGAAAACTGGTATTGGGATGATTGGTTTTTGCTTGTTTGTTTTTAATTGAGATGGAGTCTTGCTCTGTCACCCAGGCTGGAGTGCAGGGGCTCAATCTTAGCTCATTGCAACCTCTGCCTCCCGGGTTCAAGCAATTCTCCTGACTCAGCTTCCTGAGTAGCTGGGATTACTGGTGTACAGAACCATGCCTGGCTAATTTTTGTATTTTTAGTAGAGACAGTTTCACCATATTGGTCAGGCTGGTCTCGAACTCCTGACCTCGTGATCCGCCTGCCTCTGCCTCTCAAAGTGCTGGGATTACAGTGGTGAGCCAACCGCGCCCAGCCTGAGATGATTGTTGTTAACCTGTACATTTGGATTGTAACCAGTGTCTGACAAATGAAACTCACAACAGCCAAAAGATTCATAAGCTTTCATATGGTATATTTCTACTACCTGCTAGAGCATTTGAATATCTGTAGGTGGATGTCCTTCAATTGCCATGCTCAATGGGATATCAAATTCTTGTGATTGTATGCCTGTTTTCAGGATATATGGAAGCTTTGCCTTACAGAAAGACTGTTGCATCAACAGCGAAAAAACTCACTAAAAAATATTTCTCTGGTGGAGCATTCCTAGAGAAATCTCCAGGGATAGGAAAACTCCGTTGACTGAACAGTGTATCAAAGAGTTAAATAAGATTATAAAATCAGGGACATGACCTTATCATTCTTAGTCCTCTCCAAAGATTGAACAAACAAATGTTATCTTGAATCAAAAATGAGCTAAACTAACAGAAGGCTGGGATACTTTATTTTATTTGAGATGGAGTCTCGCTCTATTACCCAGGCTGGAGTGCAGTGACAATTTTGGCTCACTGCAACCTCCCCCTCCTGGGTTCAAGCAATTCTTCAAGCCTGTCAAGTAGCTGGGATTACAGGCATGAGCCACCATGCCAATTTTTGTATTTTTAGTAGAGACGGGGTTTCACCATGTTGGCCAGGCTGGTCTCAAATTTCTGACCTCGAGATCTGCCCATCTCAGCTGGGATTACAGGTGTGCATGGCGCCCGGCGTTTTTTTTTTTGTTTTTTTTTTTTGTTTTTTTTTCACTTGGAGTCTCACTCTGATGCCTGGAGTGCAGTGGCTTGATCTCGGCTCACTGCAACCTCTGCTTCCCAGGGTGAAGCCATTATTCTGCCTCAGCCTCCTGAGTAGCTGGGACTACAGGCATGCACCACCATGCCCAGCTAATTTTTGTATTTTCAGTAGAGATGGGGTTTCACTATGTTGGCTAGATGATCTCAATCTTGTGATCTGCCGGCCTCATCCTCCCAAAGTGTTGATATTACAGCCGTGATCCACTGAAGCCAGTTAGGGCCCTCACTTCTATCTAAATGTTGAGACCTTGCTCACTTTTAATGGGGGGATCCAGAACCCGCAATTCCTGACCATTATCTGTGCCAGGAAAGGACTTCACTGCAAAAGGTATGGAACCTGCCCTGGAAAAGGAAGCCCACGCTGTATGAGCAGGAGCCCCAGGGCATCGCCAACCCATGCTGTCCTCATGGTCGGTGGCAGCCCTTGCTGAATTAAACCAGCTGTCGCCAGTAGAGACAGCCACATTCCCTTTTATCTAAATACGAAACTCAGAGGCATATAACACTTGTAAAATATTTCTATTCCTCATTCCAATTACAGTGTAATTCTTTTTCAGTGTAATTGGGCCATATGGTGAGAGCTCTTTCCACAACACCTCCCTTCTCTATCAAGGAAGACTAGTGCAGGCTGCTTTGGAATCACACATCATCAGAGGGTGGATAATGATCAAGTGCCTCTAAATGACAAGTGACCTTCCCTGTGCTAAGAACTTTACACAAAGGGCACCCAAGTGAAGGACCTTGCTGAGGATCAGGGGCTGATGTTGGGCAGAAACCTTAGGTAAGAGGCCAGTTGCCCGGCAGGGGAAGCATTCCCAACCAGCTTATGAGACCCCTGTAAGATTCAATAACATGGCGGCCAGGCGCGGTGGCTCAAGCCTGTAATCCCAGCACTTTGGGAGGCCGAGGTGGGTGGATCATGAGGACAAGAGATTGAGACCATCCTGGTCAACATGGTGAAACCCCGTCTCTACTAAAAATACAAAAAAATTAGCTGGGCATGGTGGCACATGCCTGTAATCCCAGCTACTCAGGAGGCTGAGGCAGGAGAATTGCCTGAACCCAGGAGGTGGAGGTTGCGGTGAGCCAAGATTGCACCATTGCACTCCAGCCTGGGTAACGAGCAAAACTCCGTCTCAAAAAAAAAAAAAAAAAGATTCAATGACATGCATGTTTAAGGCTGGGCATGGGGCCTGCCGTCTGGTAGCTCAATAAATGCACCTTTTTCTTCTTTTCTCTTAGCAGAATCCCCAGGATTCTTCATCTTTCTTATATTTTTTGAGAGGGAGTTTTGTTCTTGTTGCTCAGGCTAGAGTGCAAAGGCATGATCTCAGCTCACTGCAACCTCCGCCTCCCAGGTTCAAGTGATTCTCCTGCCTCAGCCTCCTGAGTAGCTGGGAGTACAGGTATGCACACCACACCTGGCTAATTTTTGCATTTTTAGTACAGACAGGGTTTTACCATGTTGGTCAGGCTGGTTTAGAAACCCTGACCTCATGATCCAACTACCTCAGCCTCCCAAAATGCTGGGATTAAAGGCGTGAGCCACCATGTCCAACTTAATTGAAATAAGAAACCTAAAGAAACCTTTTTTTTTTTTTTGAGACAAGAGTTTTGCTCTTGTTGCCCAGGCTGGAGTGCAATGGTGCAATCTCGACTCATCACAACCTCTGCCTCCCGGGTTCAAGTGATTCTCCTGCCTCGCCTCCCAAGTAGCTGGGATCACAGGCATGCACCACCACACCTGGCTATTTTTTTGTACTTTTAGTAGAGACGGGGTTTCTCCATGTTGGGTAGGCTGGTCTCAAACTCCCGACCTCAGGTGATCCA